GCTACCACGCACTCTCTTGACTACCCTGGCCCGTCAAAAACCCTCCTCCTTCATCCATGTGTGTTCCAGCCCAACGTCAGCTGCCGCGCATTGACGCACCCAACGCTTGGCCTCACAGGAATCCGCTATTTAACCGCGGCCACACCTGGCTAAACTCCACACCACAACACATCCGCTCCACATCCTCCTCCATTGCACCACATCCACCATGAACGCGAGCGGGAACGATCTATGGGAGAGCCTATCGACGGAGATGAAGCATGAGGTCGCCGCCCTTGCGGCCACCTGGCACTGTCGCCGTGTCAGGCAGATTGAGGCCGGCATGCCGGCCAGCTCCCCCCAAGGCCTCCGACCACGACTCTACAATGGAGACAGGGTCCGATGAAGACACCGTGCCGATGCATGCCAGCTTGACCATGGAGCAGGCACAGACGCACTACGACGCCGCCATGACGGATGAGGAGCAACCTGCTCCGGCTCCTATGTCGACATTCCGGCAGGCTGAGGAGGAGCAAAGGTACAACCTGCTCCTCCTCGACAGCACCGGTTGGCGAAGGGCCAAATCTACGGCGAGCGCGCAAGCGAGGAGGCCGTGGTGGCCATTACAGCGGCGAACCCGAACTTCGTTGTGGAGCAGCAGACGCTCTACGAGGCTGGACGTGCTCAACGCGTCGCTCGCAACGCAGTGCTGGCACAGCCGGACGCGGACGCAGCCGCACAAGTGCTGGCAGCGCAGGCAGTCGAGGACGAGAACGCTGCTAGTTGTGTGTCTTACACGCCGTCGTCCAACTTCCGGGGGCGCATCTGGCAGGTGGACAGTGACGGACCGTCCACATCGATCATCAACCTCGCGTCTACCTGCATCGGCGACAGACAGGTTGCAGACCCATCTTTCATGTTCCACTTTATCTCGCGAAGACCGCACCTTCACTTCACGGGTCTTAAACCCTGCCGCCATTCATGAACACGACAGATGGAGGACATGGTCGCCGATGCCGAATACAAAGAAAGTGAACGACGGGCGCCACCGTATGGCAGCTTCAGGCCCTGGCTACTTTTTTTGGTGAAAAATGTTCAAAATGCAATAACGTATGGTTTATATGAATATCCGTCGTGTTTGCATGAAACTTGGTTTGAAATATATGTGGACGGATGCGGGAGCAAATTTGTGGATCAGAAATGCCTTAATTGAGCACGCATTGCATTTTGCTGACAGGGCATGCGTGTACCATTTCTTGTGATAGCATATAGTATATACTAAAAAGCGATTACCGTGTTGATTAGTCAGAGAGAGTGTGAATAAATAAGTAATACAACATGAGTCTGCACTCATGTTTATACATATACCTTTCCATGAGCAGACGACTATGCATGGCCTACAACGAGGATCACGTCTCGTCGTCATCACAGGATCAGGATGAAAGGAACACCAGCGTCGTCGTCGCTGGCGGCTAGCAGCTGACAGCGGCCGTGCTACATGAAAGAGTCCACTCCACGGAAACTGGAAGGGATGTTCAATTGTTCAGACTTTGTTTTCGTCGGTCGTCGCCGGCGGCAGATAAGGGAGCAGGGGACTGAGGCCTTCCAAAATACTCCCTCCGTCCGAAAATATTTATCGGAGAAATTGATGAAAATGGATGTATCTAGAACTAAATTGCATCTAAATACATCCATTCCCCCGACAAGTATTTTCGGACGGAGGGAGTAGTAATCACTAGCGTTGTCGTCGCTGGCGGCCAGCAGCTGATGATGACTGCGCTACATGACAGCGTCCTCCATGGATGTTGAGATGTTGTGGTCATGGCGCCGGCGCACAGGGGAAGAGGGGATTGAGACCTTACACAAGAAATACTAGCGTCGTCGTCGCTGGTGGCTCGGCGGCTCGCGGCTGATGGTGACCGAGCTACATGAGAAGCGTCCACGGGAAGGGATGTTTAGAGTATATAACTCTTGTCGTGAGTATATATGTTTGTTTGTGAGACGGTATATATAATTCTTGTCGTGGTTTTAGTTCAAAATTTTAAACTAAAACCACGAAATAAATTATGAAACGGAGGGAGTGATAATTTTTTCGAGTCTTTATATAGCCAGAGGTACCTTTGCCCTTTTCGCAAAAAGGGTCTATCACAGGAGTTTATTTGTTACCGAGTAAGGGCATCTTCAACGCCGACCCTCAAACCGCCCCCATACGTCCCGACCTGACGTGTTTTGCCAACCAATGTGATCCTGTATCGGTCTGTAGGTCAGTCCGGACGTGCTTTTTCCCACAAAACCAAAG